GGAGTGTTCCGATTCGTCATTTTCTTGTTTAATTTTCAACATTTTATACCGCTTCAAAACTCTAATATTAACATTTAAATTAGTTATATTAATAAGCCATATATGCATAGAGGATTAATTAGACAACTTAGTTGCACAGTTTGAACTATTTTGTTTATTAACAAATAAAGAAAAAATAATGATATAATAAAAAATAATTCATTTTACATCATTTGAAGAATATTAACCAGCCAAGTTTTCAGTTGTATATTTGTTTTTTTAAACGTTTAAAACTAAATTATAATTTACTTAAATTAGATGAATAACACACACAAAACTACAATTATGACCTGTAGGTAAAAAGATAACACGATAAAGATTAAAGCTAGACGATAGCCCATTTGACCGATTAGGTTAATTTAAAGTGTCGTTGATCCCATATCAATCAACTCAACTTCATGTAAATAATAAGTAATTAGCAAACACATGTCAAGTCAATGGAAGACAGAAAACATGGCAATAATATAGAAATATAATTATAGTATATAATATAGAAATACAAAGCGGTAGGTACTCACATAACGTAGAACCGTAAACCGCGTTCGAAGGCTGCTACTACAAACTTGTTATAAATAATTAACAGGCAAGAAAAAACTCAATTGTTACGTGAATTGAAACGAAATATCGAAACAAGACCCAATACGTTAATTACCTATCACAGAATTCGACCTAGTTATTATGATTAAAATCTAAAAATTCTCACGAATCGGACCTGTGGCAATAATACTGAAAACTGGTTAAATTAACAGAAATTCAGATTTTACAATAATAAATCCTTATTATTAACAAAAACTACACTTTAGTTGAATAATAATTGTGATTTAAATGCAAAGTGCAAACTGCACGACAACGCAGAAAGTGATCAGTGATATATATTGTTATTTTATACATTTAAAACTACATTTTAATTTACTTTAATAAGCTAAATAACACAAAACTACAAGTATGACTTGTAGGTAAGAAGCTAAGACGATAATGATAAAGTTAGACGAACCGACCGACCCCGCCAACTCTATTTGTAAACCCTAGAACCTTCGGACACAAGATACCAGCAATGGACAGCCGCTAGGTACTCACTTACAAATTGTAGAATCGTACACAACAGAGAACTGTAAACACTGCTGTTCAGGCTACTACTAAAAACTTAATTAACAGGCAAGATAAAACACAATTGTAACGAAATAACGAAACACGACACATACGTTAGGTATTTATCGCAGAATTCGACCAAGTTATTATGATTGAAATCTAGAGATGTTCACGAATCGGACAAAAATAAATATCAATTATTTACAAACAAGATAATTTGTATTTATACATAATAGTTTGGAGGTTAGGTTCAGATGCGTTCCCTAACCACCAAGACACTTTGTATTTATTTAAATATAACTGCTCGTATATTTAACGTGTACAGCACAATGTAATTAACAAGTTAGGTACAAGATTACAAGTAATTAACAAACAAGATTAAACAAAAGTAATTACCAAAATGTCTGCGTGGAAGAAAGACGCCGAGCGTGTAGACGAAGTCGTGCGAGATAATTGAATGGCGGACCGAAAATGGCAGCTGGCTACTAGCTGCCAATATATTAGAAATACAAAACGTTAGGTACTCACACAACATAGAAACGTTCACCACTGTCCAGGGCTGTTACTAAAAACTTATAATCAATGATTAACAGGCAAGAAAATTGTAACGCAAATATGTTAGGTATTTATCTTAAAACTCGACCGAGTAATTATTATGATTAAAAGCTAGAGATTTTCAAGAATCGGACCCGTTGCAACAATACAGAAAACAAATTGTACCTAAGGGCGGTAAGTCTAATTTAACTAGTTATTATTCACAGAAAGAAGAGAGTACAAACAGAAATGTCAATTATTAAACAAATCAAAACTCGTTCTAATAATAATTGTGATTTTATCATTTATTGCAAACTGCACGACAACGCACAAATGTTCTATACATATCTGTGATAGTGTGATAACGAGTGATTGCCCAGTGTGAAGGTACACCACAGCGTGGAGGTAAACTGTCGTGCGTTTTAGGCGGCAAAAAAATCGAAATCTCAACTCTTGTTTCAAAGCTTGTTGTAAACTTACCTTCATTGACATCCTATAACATGTATTAATGCGTTTACCTAAGACTTTATCCGTTTTGGACACAACTTTCGCTAATTGTGTTAGAATACATAGGCCCCACGCTAGTAAAATAATATTTAATATTATAATAACAAAAAAAATAGTCGTTAAAGAAAGCCAGTACAGTTGGGCATAGTGGAGACTGGGATGTCACAGGTCTACAGGAATTGTTTTAACCGAAAGTGATATAATCACTTTTAAATAAACGCTTGACCACAGAATTTTGAGAAAATTGTACCGATATGTTTTACTTCAATTCTTGATCTACCTTCAGTCTAATTTTCAGAACTAAATCACTAAAAATTTGCTTGAAAAAGTGAAATAAAGAAGAAATGTCTCTCCTTTTCACTTAAAGGTTTATGATATGTTATTGTTTTGTCAATGTTTATCGGTAGTAGGTACTATGTTTAATGAACATTTCAGATTTGTGATTTGTGAAAAAATATTAAGATGTTCTAGTTTTACAATTGTTAAAGTTTCATGTATTCATATTTTTATTTTGCTAGCCACACTATAGTTTTGTACAATTTTGAACATTTCTTCTGCCCTACATAACACATCATTTTGTCACATAATATGTTTGTTGCCTCTTTCCATCACAAATTTTTAGCTATAAGGTTTCATTAATAAAAAATATTTTAACTGAACACTGGTGCCATGATTTCAGAGTAATATTATTAAAAGGAATATTATTTTGACAAAAATCATTTGATAGCTCTCCTAACCTCTGTCAACTTGATGTCATGTTTTTTTCTGTTCAATATCTTACACAATGAAGTTCTCCCAAAGTATTATCAACAACCAAATCGTATAAAAAAATTAGTATTATAAATATATACCAAAGAATTGAAGAGCCATATCATTAAAAGTAATCATACTACAAAATTTGTATGTTTGCTTTCCTGCACTGTCTATTAATTTCCATTATCCTCCTTCTTTGTCATGTCTTTCACAATGAAATGTTCCTCCATCATTCACAAACACGAATAAGTCGTTTTTCATGTTAACAACACCTGCATTTAAAAATATTTATGAATAAAATAATGTGTAATATACTTACCTAATATACCTACTTGAACAAATATATACCGACTTGAGCAATCTCCATAACTTAACAACTCGTTCAGGTACTTTATGACCATTAACAAGATAAATTAGTAATTACGTTTTCTATAGTCGTATTATATATGTAGAGTATTCTACAGTCGCTAGAAAATTACCATTATCTCTACCAAACTACAAAAACAATAATATTAAATACTACAATAATATTAAATTCACACATACCATATAAACTCAGTAAATTGAATATTTTCCTTTTTTTTTGTTATACAAATTAAAATAAAATACAAGTAGAAACTTATTTAGTAGTTTTGCATGGTTTTTATGGTAAAGCTGTGTTTATTTACAACAAATAATTAATAACTGAATATTGTAGAGTTTCACAAGACTCGAACCTCGAACAGTGGGCATTGGTTCAATAATTTCTGTACTTATTGGTATTTGTTTGGTTTAACAATGTTTATCGGTAATACTATAATTAAAGAATATTCCATACAAATTTGGAAAAAAACTAATGTTTTTAAAAAAGTTATACCTAGAGCATCGTAATTTTAAGTTGAATAAAAAAAACATTTTAAAAAACATGCTTTTATAAAAAAAAAAAAATAGTGATAAGTGAACTAAAACGTAAAAAAAATGTTTCCACCCCCCTAGGGGGGGGGGGGTACAAGTTTTTTTGTTTTTCGGAGTTTTAGCCGTAATTTTAAAACTTTTGGGATGAAAATTAGCCAGTAGTTGGAACTCATATGTATCCATAACATATTAAACGGGTGAAAAATTCGGCACTTCAGTTTTTTTTGTAATTGCCGGAAACTGTGTTTTCGCAGATTTCGTATATTTCAACAAAAACACCTACAATCTTTTAAAAAAATTGATGATATCATTAAAACAATTTTATGTATATCTATGCAGAATGATACTATTATGTTTTGTGCTCAAGTACCACTTTTAACTTACGTTTACACAAATTCAATTTTTTTTTTAAACACAAGATTTAATAATTAAAAAATAACATTATATGGGTATATTTGTTTCTACCAACTAACATAAATACTAAATACATACACATGTATTCTGGTGGTTATGATTGTACAACCTTAGGTAACTTAATTAAGCAGTAAAATTAAACTACAAAATAATATAACAAGTTAAGTACACTGTTTTATAATGTGTAAAACATTTGGTTTAACTAAATACCTTGTGATCAGTTAAACGATAGTAATAATTTAAAAATTATAAGAAAACTAATACAAAAATATTCAATCTGAATAAAATTGTTTATAAAAAAAAATTGTAAAATAATTACAAATAGCTTTTGAAAAACTATTTTAAAACTACTAAATTGTCCATACGTGAGGTTTTATGAGGTTATGAGCCATGTGCTTTTGCTTGATGTCTTTTGAGAGTATCTTGGCGAACATATGATTTATCACAGGCTAAGCATTTATATCGTACCCCACCAATTTGTATCCGTGCATGTCTCTTGAGATCAGATTGTTGACGAAATGTTTTTTGACAGACATCGCATTTAAACGGGTTTACTCTGGTATGTATGCGTTCATGAGCTTTTAGGTGATGTTCTCCACCAAACGCTTTTACACAGACAACGCATTTATAAGGTTTTTCACCAGTATGTATCCTTTCATGTTTTTTAAGACTTTGTTGTAGACTGAATGTTTTTTCACAGACATCGCACTTAAAAGGTTTTTCGCCGGTATTGTATCCGTGTATGATGTCTTGAGAGTCAGATAGTTGACAGAAAGTTTTTTCACAGACATTGCATTTAAAGGGTTTCTAACCGATATGTATCCTTTTATGAATTTTTAGGTGTTGTTGTCTACCAAACGTTTTTTCACAGACATCGCATTTAAACGGTTTTTCGCCGGTATGAATACGTGCATGTTTTTTGAGATCAGATTGTTGAGTGAAGGTTTTTTCACAGACATTGCATTTATAGGGTTTTTCACCGGTATGAATACGTTCATGTCTCTTGAGATTAGATAGTTGAGAGAATGTTTTTTCACAGACAACGCATTTATAAGGTTTTTCACCAGTATGTATCCTTTCATGTTTTTTAATACTTTTTGTAGACGGAATGTTTTTTCACAGACATCGCACTTAAAAGGTTTCTCGCCGGTATGTATTCGTGTATGATCCTTGAGATCAGATTGTTGAGTGAAGGTTTTTTTACAGATATCGCATTTAAACGGTTTTTCGACGGTATGTGTGCGTTTATGAATTTTTAGGTGTTGTTGTCTACCAAACGTTTTTTCACAGACATCGCATTTAAACGGTTTCTCGCCGTTATGTATCCGTGTATGTTTCTTGAGATCAGTTTGTTGAATGAATGTTTTTTTTACAGATATCGCATTTAAACGGTTTTTTTCGACGGTATGTGTGCGGTTTATGAAATTTTTAGGAGATTGATTGTGTACCAAATGTTTTTTCACAGAACTCGCATTTAAACGGTTTCTCGCCGGTATGTATACGTGCATGTGTCCTTGAGAGCAGATTGTTGACTGAATGTTTTTTCACAGACAACGCATTTATAAGGTTTTTCACCAGTATGTATCATTTCATGTATTTTAAGACTTTGTTGTAGATTGAATGTTTTTTCACAGACAACGCATTTATAAGGTTTCTCGCCGGTATGTATGCGTTCATGAGTTCTGAGGTGAGATATCTGACCAAATCTTTTTTCACAAATATTGCATTTAAAGGGGTTTACTCCGGTATGAACGCGCCAATGTTGTCTAAGGTATGATTTTGATGAACAACTTTTCAAACAAATACCACAATTAAATAAGCCATCTTTGTTTCGAGTATACTCTTTGATTCTGTTGTTACGATGATTGACTTTATTTTTTTGAGGCGCTTTCTTTTTCACGGAAGTACTGGTATGCGATTTCGCAATATTCCGGATTATATTATTTTTGGCTGTAAACCTCCTTTGACATACATTGCAGTCGAACCGACGTAGTTTGTATATATTTTTCTCAGAATTATTTTTTATAGTTCCAATAAAACTACAATCCATATTTTTTGTATTATTCCAGGTATCGGTCGCTTTACATGAAATATGAATACTGCAACACATATGAAACAAAATAGATTAATTTAAGATTAAAATTTGAAACATATGAAAACGGTCGAAATCTATTTTTTTGAAAAAAAACTGAAAAACCTCTATATTTAGAGCAAAAATTAGTGATAAAAATTTCAAAAAATAAAGGTCTTATCATAGACCAAAAGAAAAAAAAAATTTTGAGGAGGTCAAGCCGATGACCGCGTGGTTTGACTCAAAATTCCCTATATATATATATATATATAAACAATGCAAACATACCCTAACATAATGTGGTACCGCAGACATTGACCGGTCATCATAACCACAAAGAAATAATTTTTTTTTTTGTTATTTTGATTTAACATTATATTGATAAGAGTTAGATGTAGCTTTAAACTAATCTATTATTATATGAACAAGTGGTTCCTAATATAATTTTTAATGATATCGAAACACTAACATTGATACCAACGACGGGTTTAAATAGGAGGACAACATAATTACAAGTAGCTTTATTTAGGATAAAAATAAATGGTATTAAAAATCGCCTTACTTATAACTACTGTGGACTTCGTTCTTTACTAAATACTCCTCTGTTGTAGAAATTTCTTTGCTTAAGAGCTGCACATCAAACGGTTTAGATTCAATGTCCTTGAATGATTTTTCCACCGAGTGTTCTTCTGTTTCATAATTTTCAGGTTTAATTTTCAATATATTATACCGCTTCAAAACTCTATAATTGACATTCAACATTAGTTATATGTTTATATGACTTGAAAGTAAGAAGCCAAGACGATAATGATTAAAGGTAGAGGATAGCCCATTTGAACGACTAGATTAATTTTAAGTGGCGTAGAATCTCGTGTCACTTAAATAAACTCAGGATACACGGGAGTTAATATTTCAATAACTAAATAAGTAAAAAGTTTTTTTTTTTTACTTAGATGTACATGATTAGTTTCCAACAGCTGAATTAAATATTTATTGGTTTTATACTGTGTTTCAATCACTAATTCGTCAAAATTGTGTGTCTTGTCAATACATTATAATACTCATCAACTCACTAATTAACAAAATCCAAAAAAATACTCTACTGTATATTCAGGCTTTTATACATAAAAAGATCATTAAATAGGCCTGTTGTGTAAGCATAGAAGGCCTAGTAGCTAAAAGAAGAGTAAAAATTTTATTTGTTTTTTAAAAAATTGAGGTCAGGCCGACGACTCGCGTGGTTTGATTCAGATTGCTCTATATATATATACATAACAGTAAGTGTTGTGCGAATATACACTAACATAATGTGGTACCGCAGACACTGACCGGTCATCATACCCACAAATATATCATTTTTTTTTTTGGTATTTTGATTTAACATTATATTGATAAGAGTTAGATGAAGTTTAAATTAATTTATTAATTTATAAACAAGAGGTTCCTAATATAAGTTTTATGATAGCGAAACGCTAACATCGATACCAACGACGGGTTTAAAAAGGAGGTCAACATAATTACAAGTAGCTTTATATAGGATAAACATACCATGATGTAATATATTTCATTTTAAAAATTTCTTACCATTTCTTTAAAAAATAAAACCTAGAAGAAACGGCTTTTCAAACGACTCTCCCCCCTTAGTGTACAGTTTTTTTTATAATAGCGTGTATGTCTTAAACCCCAGAACTAATTATACTAATTTTTTTTTTTACAACTGTTAAAATGTAGATATGTATAGATGTGTACATATATATACATAACACGGTATGTCTCGTGCGAATGTACGCTATCATAATGTGGTATTACAGTGTGATTTAACGTTAGATTGATAAGATGAAGATGTAGTTTTAGAACAATCTATTATTATATGAACAAGTAGTTCCTAAAACAAGTTGAATAACAAAATGCTAACATCGATTAAAACAATGGGTGTATAGAAGAGGACAACATAATTACAAGTTAATAGTTTCATATAGGATAAAAAATAAATGGTAATAAAAATCGCCTTACTCATAACTATTGTCGACTTCATTCTTTACGAAATACTCCTCTGTTGTAGAAATTTCATTGTTTATGAACTGCACATCTAGCGGTTTAGGTTCAATGACTTCAAACAATTTTTCCAAGGAGTGTTCTTCTGATTCGTCATTTTCTTGTTTATTTTCATATATACTGCTTCAAAGCTCTATAATTGAAATTTAACATCAGTTATAATTCTTTACATATATAGGATTATTAGGAATTCTTAACTATACAATTTTAACTATTGTTTTTTAAATATTTAAAACTAAATTTGAATTTACCTTAATTAGATAAATAACACAAGCCTACAAGTATGACTTGTAGGTAAAAAGCTAACACTATAAAGATCAAAGCTAAGCGATAGCCCATTTGACCAACTAAATCCTTACTCATTGTATATATATATAACTGAAATTTTATTTACCAAACAATTATTTTAAAAGAGTATATAATTTACTGAAAATCTTAACTTATCGTTAACAAGTAAAATAATATCAAATGTAAAGGGCTAGTGGATTAAGTTATTCAAAGAAAGCTTATATTTCTCTTTACTTTTTACTAACGTCTTTATAGCATTGATAACTACGACGGGTGTTTAGAACTGGACAACATAATTACAAGTTAATAGTTTCATTTAGGATAAAAAATAAATCGTAATAAAAATCGCCTTACCCATAAGTATTGTCGTCTTCATTCTTTACTAAATACTCCTCTATTGTAGAAATTTCATTGTTTATGAACTGCACATCTAGCAGTTTAGGTTCTATGACTTCAGGCGTTTTTTCAAAAGAGTGTTCTTCTGTTCCATCATTTTCATGTTTAATTTTCAACATGTTATACTGCTTCAAAATTCTATAATTGACATTTAACATTAGTTATATTTCTGTGCCATATATGCATCGAGGTTTAATAGGACAAGTGACAACTTCACTACACAATTTTAACTATTTTATTAAGTAACAAATTAGGTAAGAATAATGATATAATAAAGAATAATTTAGTTAACAATATTTGAAAAATAAAAACCAACAAAGTTTTGAGAGATATATTTTGTTTTTTTAAACTTTTAATCTTAGATTTTAATTTACTTAAATTAGACGAATAACACAAAACTACAAGTATGACTTGTAGGTAAGACGCTAACACGATAAAGATTAAAGCTGAACACCTATAGATGTTTATGATTCTATTTATTCACAAACAGTATGTTAAGTCAACAGGAGACAGAAAACACGGCAATAATGTAATTAAATTCAAAATACATAATAGTAGGTACTCACACAACGTAGAACTGTAAACCGGTGTTCAGGGCTGCTACTAAAAACTTAAAATGATTAACAAGCAAAACAAAACTCAATTGTAATGCAAATTGAAACGAAATAAAGAAACATGAGGCACTACGTTAGGTATTTATCACTGAATTCGACCAAGTTATTATGATTAAAAACTAGAAATTCTCATGAATCAGAGACGGGGCATCAATACCGAAAACAAGTTATACCTATGTCCTATTGCAAAAATCGAATCTAACTATTTATAATTCACAGAAATTCAGAGTGTACAAAAAGAAATATAAATTATTAACAAAAACAAAACTTGTAAATTGTGATTTTAATGCAAAATGAATGACAACATAGAAATTTCCTAGACAGATTTGTGATAGCGTGTGTTTGTGTGATAACGATTGATTGCCACAAATGGAGGTACTTCACAGCGTGGAGGTAAACTGTCGTGCGTTTTAGGCGGCAAAAAAATAAAAGTCTCAACTCGTTTCAAAGCTTGTTGTAAACTTACCTTCATTGACATCCTATAACTTGTATTAATGCGTTTACCTAAGACTTTATCCGTTTCGCACACATCTTTCGCTAATTGTGTTAGAACACATAGGCCCCACACTAGTAAAATAATATTTAATATTATAATAACACAAAAAATAGTTTATAAGAAAGCCAGTGATTTGACATTCCATGCCAAATTCACCCGATGTGTGTGCAAGTGGATTTTTGAAATGCCTCAAACTTACATATTATGCTATGCAGATAGTTCCATAAAATCAGTAAACTGAAGAAAAATATGTTTTAACATTTTTTTGCCATATTTAATAACTTGATGTGAGAACACATTAAGTTCACGATCACGTTACTTAATGAATTTTTAATTTATGTCTTAAAAAGTTATAGGTTCTTAAATATATCACTTTTTAGTGAAATTCCAAACTTTTAGGTTACATATAGATAAAAAACAAAAAATGTTAAAAATAAGTTACGAATCAAACAAGTATATTATGATGGATCAGGAAAAAATGTTTAAATTTTGATTTTAAGTTAGAAACAACAATAAATGAAATTCATAAAACTTATAATTTGTTTTTTAATTTTTAAGTACTTAAAAACTTTTAACTTGTCCAGTTAAAAAAGAAATGTAATCATAATTGTTGAAATAATAATACATTTTAATTATTATAAAAGAAACCTTCCAAATTTTACACATGCAATTTTATAAAGTATGTTTTTGTAAGATTTTAGTTTAAATTTATTTAAAAATTCAAAATAAAATGCATTATTATTTCGACAATATTATGATAACAATTAAATGATTTCTAATAAAATATAATTCTTCACTGTATTTATATCCGTTATTATCCAATAAATCATTTTTTTGTTTTATTATATTTATTTTATCTGATAAATGAATGGTCGCATCGAATGGTACTACGAAAGTTAATAACATTATTATATTAAACATTTATCAATCAAACGGAAAGCCCAAAATGTTACAGACACAATTAATACGATCTTCGAAACAACTAGTTCTTATACATTTTAAATAACGCATCAGTTTGTTTAAAAATCAAAGATAACAATCAATTTAAATATTATAATGTATACATTTATAAAATATTAAAAGCTGTTGAATAGTTTTCCACTAGTTTTACTTCATACTTTTTACAAAATATTTTAATTCTATACTTATAAAATGTTTATTAATTTAACACATCATCCAATTTGTTTGGTTAAAAACCTAACATTTAAACTTCTTCCAAACAGCATATTTTAATTTAAATAAATTATCATCTTTTTTTTTTTTTTGTATGACAATCAGTATTTACTTATTATTTTTTTTAATAAACAATCCACCTCTGCTATATAATTCTACAAGATAGAAAATAATTTAGTTCCAATAAAAGTATTTAAGATGTAATGACGAATTGAGATTTTATCCGATGGATACGATTCACTGGTATGCCAGATTTGCACAAATGTTATTTACTATCATAAGATGAAAAAAATAACTTTCTTTGCATCCTCCGGTTAACTTATAAATAAAACTGATTATAACAAATTAGAAGTGTTACACAGCTGCAGCTGTACAATATTATGTAGAAATTTTAACACTTAAGATTTAATAATTAAAAAATAACATGATAAGTGAATACCATATCATTTCAGAGTAACATTATTTATATCATCATATCATGGCAAAAATAATTTAATTGCTCTCTTTGTCAACCAGATGCTCTGTTTTTGTTCTGTGTCATATCTTTCACAATGAGGATCTCCTAAAGAATTACAAATACGAACAAATCATCAATAATGAAATGTGTATAATACTTTTAAAAACTAGTTTAATTCATTAATTATTAGTTATAAGTAAGTAGATCACTTAAGCATGTAAGAAAACTTAAAAAAATAAATCTATTAAACAGTAGTGTTCTGAACTTATTTTTAAATGTTTTATAGTTGTAAGCTGTAGAAAGTAAACTAAACATAATTATCTAAAAAAAAAACTATAAAAAAAACTAATAAATACATACACATGTATTCTATTAGTAATGTTTGTACAATCTTAAGTTACTTAATTATAGAGTAACACTAAACTGCTAAATTATATAACAATTATATAATAATTATATATGGTCTGCAGAGAACAGCCCAAAATAATAAAAGAAGAAAGTTTTTATTTTCAAATAAAATTACATGACATACCTAAATCGATTATATTGTGTTAAATAATATTAATATTATTTATTAATGTATTCTGTTAGCAATGCTTGTACAATCTTAATTTACTCAATTTAACAGTACAATTAAACTGCCAAGTTATATAAAATGTTGAGTATACGCAAAACACGTATAAAACACATTGGTTTTACTAAATGTCTTTGTGCAAGTGTATAATTTAATGATCAGTTAAACAATAGTAATAATTAAAAAATTATAAGAAAACTAATACAAAAACATTCAGTCTGAATTAAATCGTTCATATAAAAAAAAATGTAAAATAATTACAAATTTATTTTGAAAAACTATTCTAAAACAGCCAAATTGTCCATACGTGAGGTTCATGAGGTTATGAGCCATGTGCTTTTGCTTGATGCCTTTTAAGAGAATCTTGGAGGCTATATGATTTATCACAAGCTGAGCATTTGTGTCGTACCCCACCAATATGTATCCGTGCATGTCTCTTGAGATCAGATTGTTGAAAGAAGGTTTTTTTTACAAATATCGCATTTAAACGGTTTTTCGACGGTATGTGTGCGTTTATGAATTTTTAGGTGATGTTGTCTACGAAATGTTTTTTCACATATATCGCATTTAAAGGGTTTCTCTCCGGTATGTATACGTGCATGTCTCTTGAGATCAGACAGTTGAATGAATGTTTTTTCACAGACATTGCACTTAAATGGTTTCTCACCGGTATGTATGCGTTCATGAGTTTCGAGGTGAGATATCTGACCAAATCTTTTTTCACAGATATTGCATTTAAAGGATTTCTCTCCGGTATTAGCGCGCCATTGTCTTCTCAGGTTTGATTTTGATAAAAAACTATTTTAACAAATACCACAGTTAAATAAGCCATCTTTGTTTCGATTATGCCCTTTGACTCTGCTGTTACGTTGATTAACTTTATTTTTTTGAGGAGCTTTCGACCTGACGTATTTTGTATATATTTTTCTTAGGATGGTTTTTTATAGTTTCAATAAAAGTACAATCCATATTTTTTTTATTATTCCAGGTATCGGTCGCTTTACACGAAATATGAATACTTTTTCTTGTTACTAGCCTTTATTAATAACGTTAATAAATAATCAGAGATTATTGACTGAAGGTCACAGACATCATATTTATAGGGTTTTCCTCCGGTACTAATAAAAAGATACATACCCGAGAAAAGCCCTAAAAATGCAAGGTCTGTGAATACAATTTTTCTTCCTTTTTTTATTTTTTTAATTTTACTATGGAAAATGTATTTTTACTTAATTAGACATTTAAATGATATAGACTATAAGTAATCTTTCTTTTTTTCCCTTAATGATTATGCTTCGACCTTTAGGCCATACATTTTTTTATCCTAATTAAAACTATTAACTTTATAATTATGTTTTCCTCCTCCTCTATAAACCTGTCGTTGCTATCGATGTAGCTTTAAATTACCTAACATTAAATTTATGTTAGGAACCACTTGTTCAAATAATTTTTTTTTTTTTATTAGCCTTTTTAATAAAAAATATTTGACTCAACAATTAAGACAGTAATAATGAGTAAAATGTAAATGTATGGATACATTATTAGTAATAACATGATTTCAATTATAATTATAAAATGATAAAAAACAAACAAAAAGAAGAAAAACAACGAGTAAATACAAAAAAACTAAATAAAATAATACTCAAAAGTAGATTTCGACATGTTAAAACCTGAGAAAAACAGCTCTTTAAAAGACTTTTCTCCCTTAATGTACAGTAATTTTATAATAGCATGTATCTTAAAGTATAGTTTTTTATAATAATAAATGACACTTTTTCATACGTAACATATTTCGTACGATAACATAATGTGGCACTGCAGACATCATACCCACAAGTAGATGTTTACAATATCATTTTTTTTTTTATATTTTGATTTCACATTATATTGATAAGAAGATGTAGTTTTAAAACAACCTAACATTATATGAACAAGAAGTTCCTAATATAAGTTTAATAACGGAATGCTATCATCGATAACTACGACGGATGTATAGAAGAGGACAACATAATTACAAGTTATTAGTTTTATTTAGGATAGGGTAAAAAATAAATGATAATAACACTAAAATACAAATAAGGCTTGTAGGTAAAAGCTAACACAATATATATTTATATATATAACTAAAATAGTATTTACTAAACAATTATTTTAAAAGAGTAATTCTACTGAAAATTTTAACTTATCGTTAACAAGTAAAATAACATGAAATATTTTTATAATATAAACTCTAATGTTTTATAATAGCCTAAAAACAATATGACTTCATATGTTTTCTTAAAGGATTGTTCTTCTTTTCATGTTTAATTTTTAACATATTATAACTCTTCAAAATTCTATATTTGACATTTAACATAAGTTGTACTTCTGTGCACCATTTTTAATTATTTTTTTAGTGAAAAATATAGTAGTAATAATAATATAATAAAGAAAATGTAGTCTACATTGCTTGAAAAATAATAACTAAGTTTTGAGTGATATATTTTAATATTTTTAATCATTTAAAACTACATTTTAATTTACTTAAATCAGCTGAATAACACAAAACTACAAGTATGACTTGTAGGTAAAAAGCTAAGACGATAATGATAAAGTTAGACGGTAAACCGATTCCGTACCACTCGACTCAACTCTAATTAATAAAGAAGTTATAAACAAACACATATAGATTATTACCATTCTGTGTATTCACAAGAAATACTCTTAGTCAATGGAAAACAGAAAACACAGCAATATTGTAAATAAATTAAAAATACAAAACAGTAGGTACTCACTTACAAATTGTAGAATCGTATACAACAGAGAACTGTAAACACTGCTGTTCAGGCTACTACTAAAAACTTAATTAACAGGCAAGATAAAACACAATTGTAACGAAATAACGAAACACGACACAAACGTTAGGTATTTATCGCAGAATTCGACCAAGTTATAATGATTGAAATCTAGAGATGTTCACGAATCGGACAACAATAAATATCAATTATTTACAAACAAGATAATTTGTATTTATACATAATAGTTTGGAGGTTAGGTTCAGATGCGTTCCCTAACCACCAAGACGCTTTGTTATTTATTTAAATATCACTGCTCGTATATTTAATGTGTACAGCACAATGTTATTAACAAATTAGGAACAAGATTACAAATAATTAACGAACAAGATTAAACACAAGTAAATAACAAAATGTCTGCGTGGAAGAAAGACGCCGAGCGCGTAGACGAAGTCGTGCGAGATAATCGAATGGCGGACTGAAAATGGCAGCCGGCTACTAGATGCGGTGTCGTCCTAACGCTACACCCGGCGCAGTAGTTGGTGGTACGGTAGGTAGTGGTACCAACCGACACCGCGTTGCTAGCGTTTCACCGCGGCAGAGTAGGTGGTGATACCAACTATCATCACATTAGTGGTGATTTTAATGCAAACTGCATGACAACGCAGAAATCTTCTAGACAGATTTGTGATAGTATGTGTGTAATAAGAAGTGATTTTCGCATCGTAGAGTTAAACTGTCATAAATAATCACTTTAAAATAAACGCTTGACCACAGATTTTTGATAAAATTGTAAATGTTATACTTCCGTTCTAGATGTACCTTTGGTCTATTTTTTTGACATATATTAGTTAAACTTTACTTGAAGATGTTAAATAAAGAAGAAATGTCTACTCCTTTTTGTGGAAAGGGATTAAGATATGTTTTTGTTTTGTCAATGTTTATCGGTAGTAGGTTCTATGTCATATTTTAACTTTGTTGGCAACACTATAGTTTTGTCAATTTTGACCATTCCTTCAGCCCCAAATTGTACTTATACATTCGTATATCATTAATTCGAATTAAATCGTAAGATAGCAATCGTTTTAAGAAAAAAAAACATTATGATTGGCCAAACAAGCAGAAAAGTACAACAGAATCATAGAATTAAATATTCATCCCATCGAAAATTTTAAGTAAATCAGTATTGATAATAGTTACAAAATAAAATAATGAAAGTAAAGAACATGTAAGTATGTAACTTAATTTCATTACAAAAAAATTAACGTAACATAGAGATTACTGTCTAGAAACATATTATAAGGGTAAAATTACTTTGCGTGGTAATTTTGTAATTAACTAATACATGTATAACAGCATCATTATTCTTTAATAAAAACCAACACTAATTATGTTTCTTTTAATATAAATTGAGTGGTCAAAGACATTGATAGGGTCTTCACATTATCATCAGTAATTTTTAGTACCTACACTATATTTTAATTATAAACCTCTATATTTTCAAATAAATATAATTAATGTATATATAGGTTTATATAAATGTAGAGCTTGAAGCAACATACAGACAAGTCCTTTTTAAAATAGAGAAAAACATTTTTTAACTTGTTTTTTATTCATTTTATTTTTTACAAATTCCAAATCAATTTATCTATTATACTACCATTCATTTTTATCAACGTTTGTGGGGTTTTTACAAAATAGTGTACATTTTAACAAGGTAACGTTTTCAATTGCTGTTTAGTATTTTTTTTTTATTTTTATTGAAAGAGGTAAATGGTTGGCATTATAAAATACCTTTCGTAATCGATTTCTGATTTGTAGATTGGATATAATGAGCTGATTGGTAGAAACTAAAAAAAACGATTTACCCATTTTATAGCGTTCCACAGGCCAATCCAAATATCTCCTACAGGTAAATTGAGTTTTTTGATATTATGTTACCATCATAAATAATTCAATCATTTTATACATCGAATAAAAAAAAAATTATTTTAAAAAGTATGAATGAAACTAACATAATGTAATCACAACTATCGAAAAAATAATACATTTTATTTTGAATTTTAAATAAATATAAAATAAAACCTTCCAAATTATACATATTAAATTTTATAAGGTATTATTTTGTAACAATTTTTTTTATATTTATTTCAACATCAAAATAGTGTATTATAATTTTGACAATATTATGAATATAGTTATATGATACATAATAATATTGAATTTTAATAGATTTTTTTCGATGGATACGATTCACTGGTATGCCAGATTTGCACAAATGTTATTTACTATACTAAGATGGAAAGTATAACTTTCTCTGTATCCTCCAGTTAACTTAAGACTGAACATAAAACATTAGAGGCGTTACACATCTGGAACTGTACAATATAATGTTGAAATTTTAACACACAAGATTTAATAATTAAATAATAACATTATATGGGTATATTTGTTTCTACCAACTAACATAAATACTAAATACATACACATGTATTCTGGTGGTAATGATTGTACAATCTTAGGTAACTTAATTAAGCAGTAAAATTAAACTACAAAATAATATAACAAGTTAAGTACACTGTTTTATAATGTGTAAAACATATTGGTTTCACTAAATACCTTGTGATCAGTTAAACGATAGTAATAATTTAAAAATTATAAGAAAACTAATACAAAAATATTCAATCTGAATAAAATTGTTCATAAAAAAAAATTGTAAAATAATTACAAATAGCTTTTGAAAAACTATTTTAAAACTACTAAATTGTCCATACGTGAGGTTTATGAGGTTATGAGCCATGTGCTTTTGCTTGATGTCTTTTGAGAGTATCTTGGCAACCATATGATTTATCACAGGCTGAGCATTTATATCGTACCCCACCAATATGTATCCGTGCATGTCTCTTGAGATCAGATTGTTGACGAAATGTTTTTTCACAGACATCGCATTTAAACGGTTTACGCTGGTATGTATGCGTTCATGAGCTTTTAGGTGATGTTCTCTACCAAACGTTTTTTTCACAGACATCGCATTTAAACGGTTTCTCGCCGGTATGAATACGTGCATGGTTCTTGAGATGAGTTTGTTGACTGAATGTTTTTTCACAGACAACGCATTTATAAGGTTTTTCACCAGTATGTATCCTTTCATGTCTTTTAAGACTTTGTTGTAGACTGAATGTTTTTTCACAGACATCGCACTTAAAAGGTTTCTCGCCGGTATGTATCCGGGTATGTTTCTTGAGATCAGTTTTTTGAATGAAGGTTTTTTTACAGATATCGCATTTAAACGGTTTTTTCGACGGTATGTGTGCGTTTATGAATTTT